TATAAATCAAAAAGTCCTACTATTAATGTCAAGGTCATAAAGACAAGACTAAAGTAAGTGATAATCCTATTCTAGATTGCCAGTAAACTTCACTTTGCTAAGCTCTCCTCAAATCTGGGTAATAGAGAAATATCTATAAGATATAACAGCACTCAGATTCAAATATAATTAAGCATAAAATCATACATCATAACCTTCTAAATATATCCTTTACATTCATATTAACCTCAATTTAGAAACTATCAACAAGATCATTTTACAATGCATGTGATCCTCATTAATATTATTTACAGAACAGAAGTATTATTTATAATGGGTATTTTTATAATTCATGGAATATAGATACCATTATCAGCAACCTAGACTAATCAAAATCCATAAGTGGTGCATGCTTTTCCAAGAACTTAATATATAAAAAATCATTTCACCACCATAATAGCAATAAGGTTCACATCAAAAAATCCATCAATATTTAGTTTGTTGATGAGAAATTGCCCATTCAGGTTTTTTTACTCTACTTAAAATTGAGATATTGATTTGTTTTTCATCTGAAGATAAAACTTTTTATCTGTTTCAATCTTATATTCCCCATCTGGAAACATATTCATCTTCCTTACTCCAACATATTGGATTATATCCACCTCCAGTTACCTTAATTTTCATTGTGGTCACAGTTTGTTCAAAAATCGGGGTTCACTCAATTACAAGAGAATATTTATTTAAAAGCTTTAATAATGAAGTTTTTTTAATAAAGTTAAATAAAAAATGTGGAACATTAATTTTTTAAAAGCTATATATACACACACACACATATATAAGAATGGTTGATGTTTTTTATGAAATATGTAACAATTTTTTTCCTTATTTGTATTCTCAGATTGGCAAAAATTTTTGTAATCAACTGAACACAGACAAACTTTCCATCCACAAGTTAATATGCATTAAAATTTTATTAATTAATATAATATATTGTCTAGGGATATTCATATTGGAATTTGGTGTAATCTTCACCTATAACCCAACTATCAAATATAGCTTCAGCTATTGGATTAAATATAATCTTTTTTTCTTCATCGAGTACTTTATTGTTGGTAAATATTAATGGAAATGAACTTCTATCTACATCTGTTGAACCCATTTTAGAATCACCAACAACACTTGAATATAGAAATCTAGATGAATTTTGTAAATTGCTTGTGTACATAATTGAACTATAAGTCATATCTCTTGCAACTTCATCAATTGCATGATTTCGAAAACTCTGACTTTCTAAATCAAGATCTGTATCTACAATTTTACCTTGTTTAAAACAGTCATTGAAATTATTTTCATTCATTATTGGAAGAGGATATGCTTCCTTCAAAATATTTTTGAGTTCTGCTAAAGTATCATTAATGCTATTGTTATGATGTTTATTTATTTTGTTAAAAGGAAAACCATATGGTGAAA